GTTTAATTTGGATAATCGGTTTGTTCATTATTAGGTAATAACTTTTACATATTTCGGCCTTAAAATATTTGGCCGTATATATGGCAACCCTTTAAAAGACTAAAACCATACTGCACATCTGCAGGTCAAGCCCTTTCATGTGACACCTCATTTTTGAAAATCGTACGAACGATACAGATTTTATGACGTGGTGGTCCGATTCGATATTCTAACATGTGGAAACTCCTTTCATGGAACTAAAGCTACGTTGCACACCCGAAGGACAAGGCCTCTCATGTGACACCTCATTTTTAAAAATCGAACGAACGATACCGATTTTATGACTTGATGTTAAATATTTTACGCAACCCTCTGCAGCAGAGAAATTTTAAATTCGATTTTCTAACATGTGGCAACTCCTTTCATGGAACTAAAGCTGATGCCAGATAAAACTTTGTAGCTTTGCGTGACATTTATAACTTTGCCAGCAAAGCGCCAGACGCAAAAGGTATGCCACAATGAACGCCAAGAAAACAATGTTGTACCGCTTTTTTTACTCATCAAAGTTGCTGTGGATTTTAATTATTTTGATTTAAAATTATCAGCAATGTAATTAAGTTTTATGTTTCTGCATGAAAACCCGAATTTGGACGAAACAAAATAAATATTAAACCGGCTGATTGTCAAAGCGCGCAAAAAGATGGGAGTTGACCATCTTTTCGCTTCGCGCTGCCGCTTCAACGATTTATGTGGCATGCTTTGTGCATTTTCATACAATTCATCTTATCTGTCAAAGCGAATCTGTCACGTAAAGCGAAGCAAAAGTTTTATGTGACATCAGCTTAAAGCTATGTTGTAAACCAGAAGGACAAGGCCTTTCATGTGACACCTCATTTTTAAAAATCGAACGAACGATACAGATTTTATGACGTGGTGGTCCGATTCGATATTCTAACATGTGGAAACTCCTTTCATGGAACTAAAGCTACGTTGCACACCCGAAGGACAAGGCCTCTCATGTGACACCTCATTTTTAAAAATCGAACGAACGATACAGATTTAATGACGTGGTGTTAAATATTTAACGCAACCCTCTGCGGCAGAGAAATTTTGAATTCGATTTTCTAAAATGTGGAAACTCCTTTCATGGAACTAAGGCTATGGTGTACACCCGAAGGACAAATTTAAAATTTTGATATTGAATCTTAATTATGTATTTATGTATATTCGTAAAATGGGCGTAAAAAAAGTTTTTAACCGACTTTCAAAAATGGAGGAGGTTATCAGTTCACCGGAATATATTTTTTTTTTATGTATGTTATCGCATAACTTTGGAGCACGTCAACCGATTTCGATAATTCTTTTTTCATCGAAAAGATAGTGTGGTCCAATACTAATCTGGTTAAGATCCGATCATTGGATCATGAAATATGTATATATATATATATTATTTTTATGAGAATTGAAGTCGGTTTTTTTTTGGTAAAAATTACTTGTGCTATCGCTGTTTATAAAATAAAAATTTATATCATATTGGCATGGTCCCTCGGCAGGCAATGGCAAACCTCCGAGTGTATTTCTGCCATGAAAAACAGCTTCTCATAAAAATACAGTCGCCGTTCGGAGTCGGCGTAAAACTGTAATTCCCTCCTCTTTGCGTGACAACATCAAGGCGCACGCCACAAGTCGGAGGAGAAGCTCGGCCAAACACTGACACATGTGTAAGCGCCATTCTATTATTATTATTATATTGGCTCAAACAATTTTCAAAATCTTTCTTTATTAAACGTAGTTTGTAGATTACAATAGAAGAAGCAGTTTGGCTTTCGTTTACGCATTACAGGGTGCCTCAAATGCGAAAGGGGAATAAATGAATGCGAAAGGGCAATTTTCAATGCGCTTGTCGCATTGTAGGGTGCCAATGTTCCGAATCGGGACACTACGTTACGGACGTTTTGCCGTTTAAAAAGTTAAATTTTTTAAAGCGATATTGTTGTACTTTATTAAAAGATATAGTGCTTAAAACGCAGGCTATTTGGAGCTTTGTTTCAAGAAGTAATATGGGCAAATCAGATTTCTCAAATAAGCGTGAAAAGAGCGTGAGTTGCAATCGATCTTCGACTGTGGTCGAAAGTGCTGATCGAACGAATTTTCATTTGGCATTGTGGCGCTCATTGATAAAAAAAAAAACGATTCGTTAGAGGACCTATGATTTTCCGCCCCTGATGAAGCTACGGAAGTTAGGGAAACGTTGGTCATAAAGTGAAGAAGAACCGAGTTGCTCATGATAGTTCAACCAAGCCTAATTTAAAAATAATATAAATCTAAGCAAACTTGATCAGCACACAAAATAAGTATTTTTTTTTATTTTGTTGACGATGATTCGCGTTTTCTTCCATATAAAAAAGGAAGAAGGCGGACCATTGTCCACTTTTTATTTTTTTTCCTAGCCTGCTGGAAATTTCCAGTGGAATATTAGTTCAGGTACTAAAATTTAGGTTAACTCGCACACAGTCAAAGGCTTTATTTTTTATATTTTGAATTGGGCGGTTATATTTTAGCAAGTTGTCACCTTTCATTGGAATTTTTTCGATAGTGCAATTGTTCACTATGTACGTATGTATATGTATGTATGTTTAATTTAGTGGTAAAAAACGTTTAACTGATCTTTATAAAAAAATTTATTTCGCTTATACGAATGTCTACCACTGTATATCTAAATACATACTATGTAGTATATGTACATAATATGGCATATCAAAATAAAATAAAAGTTTTATAAAAATATATGTACACTTACTTACGTTTTATTTTACTTACTTAGCAGATCAAGTATGCACATACTTAGGCATATATATGTACATATGTGTATATGCAATATGTGATAATGAATATACATATGTATGTATGTATGTATGTAGTACATAGTAGCAAGATACAAAGCATATACAATACACAACATAGATTTGGTAGTACGAGAATGTTATAGCGGCATATCAGTAGCAGTGCGTTTAAAAGTACTGTAGATATACTGTTTTCAGTAACATACACGCTAAGTTGAATACATCATATACCTGAAAATATAAGAGTTAACATAATGTTGCAACGGGTAAATATGCGCCCTACCTTACACCCTTGAAAAAATAAGAACAAACTCTTTGAAAAAAAGGGCTAAACTTGTTGATATCATAGTGTTTATGACATTATGGTTGATATCAAATTGATATGAATAAAATACACATTTGCCTGTATACATATTAGGGGGATTGACTCGGTCTTTCCAAACCGGTTTCCGCTGGATATCTATAGGCGGCTTTTTGAAGTCTTGTTTTTTCGCATATATCTACTTTTAATGTAGTGACACACTCCACCTCCGAAGAAGCTTTTTTATCGCAGAAGTACACTTGAAGGTTTGCCATTGTCTGCCGAGAGCGACCGCTATTCGAAAAAGCTTTTTTTGATTTGTTTTTCTTCTTATCTAAAAAAAAACTTTGAACTGATTTTGCTTTGCTCTTTTCTAAATAAAAGCCATCTTTACTGTTGATAGTTTTTTTTTGGTTATGACATCATACCAACATAAGCTTTTTCACTATATGAAAACTATGTAAAAGAAACCCGGTTTATCCGGTGTTTTCAAATTGCAGTTTTTTCGAATAACTCAAAACTGGTTTTGTAAAAGTAGGCGAATAATCGAACACCCTAATACATACATATATGATAGACATTTAGGGTACTCACAGTTCTATATTATCTACTGTGTTAATTTTGCCACCTGGCAACTTTAAAACATTTTACCAAGTTTCTCTTTGCGCCTGCCTGGAGCTGGCAAAGGTTATTTTTTTTTTTTTTGCGCTGTGCTAGCTGAGTATAAAAAAGAGAAGAGAGAATAGAGAGAAATATGTATGTGGTTTGTTGATGCTCTCTAAACACAAACGCGTGAAAGGCAAACGGTCTAGCAATGCGTGGTATTGTTGATCAACTTAATACTTTATTTAAACATAAGGGTTGCTCACAGTTCGAGTGTGTTATCTTGTTAAAGTTGCCACCTTTTAACTTTAGAAGTAAACTGTGAGTACCCTAAATGTGTAGAAGATCACAAGTTAGAATGTCAATCGATTTCTAAGATTGGGATTTACAAGTGCATTTCTCGAAATCGCTGCCTAAATAAAAGTGGAAAATTATTCACGCAAAGAAAATACTACGCTTTAAAAGTACAGTTCATAAGATAATAAGATGTTAACATCTTAATAGCAAATAATAGTAGTGGTTAAAAGTGCGTGCTACTACCCCGCAGGGCCTAGGTTCAAGTCCGGTTTCCGACCAACATCAAAAATAGCCTCTCGGCAGATTATAGCAAACCTCCGAGTATATTTCTGCCATGTAAAACATCTTCTTACAAAAATACAATCGCTGTCGGAGCTGTAATTCTAATCTATTATTATTATTAATAAGCAAATCTATTTAGAGGCCTCTACCCCCCCACTAACCTTGGTAAACTTTAAAGCACAGTTTGGGACTTTTAGTTGTATTGCTACTACTAACTTCCTATGAATTCTAGGCTTAAAGATTTGACGAATCCGGCGTATCTTCAATATCAGAACGGAGAGATAATGTGGAAACTCTCTAAACAGCTATCATATTAGTTTCTAAACTCTGGTTAGCCGTGTAATTTTAGTTCATAATATTGTGTACCAGAAAAGGGTTTTGAAGTACTGTTGTTTAGATATATTACCTAATGAAATGGCGAATTGAAGCTATCCCTTTCGAACTATTGTGTACAAATAGGATTCCCTTTTCAATATATGAATCGCCAGGTCTCAGATTTTCTAAGCAATATAAAGTAAATCATTGCAACAAATATTATAGATGTTCATAAATAGTAATAAGGAGGTTGCTACATATACCAATATGATATACGCGTCTATACATATATCAAATAATCGTACACAAAGATGTTAGATATCCATACCTGAACTTAAAGTGAAAATAAGGAGTTAAGTAAAAAATGCAATAAACTTACATACCATAGAAATGTACTGCATAGTATACTTTATTTGTAATTCAGATTTTAATTAAAGGTATTATAAATGTATACATACATATTACTATTAAATACAATATAAATTGTAACACACATATTTAATGATCGTTATAGTATAAAATGGTTTTATCTTTTACTTGTTTGAAATATTTTGTTTTTGTTTAATTTTGCAACGTCTAAGAGCAATGTTTTTTGTTTTTGTTATTGCAAGTTTTAATCCAAAGGGAAAATACACACTCAGCTGTTCTTGAAATTAAGCGTCAAAATATCTTTTTTTACTTAATTTTCGTTCGTCATGGATGTTAAAGAAATTGTTCACCTTTCTTGTTCTACGTAAAAAGTAAAAAACAAAGCAAAATTAAATAAAACAAAATCCTTCATTTTTCTTTCTGCAAAAGAAAGTATAACAAACAGCAATTGCAATTGCCATTAATTTAGAATTGCATGCTAGTTTTAAAGCGCTCTTCCAGCTGTGCTGATAATTTATATAAAGTTTTATTTTTAATCAAAGTCTGTAATTGAATGTTGGTGAGTTTCCTATTGCAGCCTGAATTTTTGATCCGTGTTGCGCTGGAAATCTTCAAATTATTTTTGTGTTTTCTTTGCATCGTATTGTTTGATGTTTCATTATCTTTTACGTTTTATGCCAAAATGTAAACACGCTGCTATGTGTATGTGCTACTAATTATCCGATATTAAGTATCATCATCTAATAAGTGATCTACATTATTGTTGTACACTACATATGAATGAGTACATACCAGAATATGGATTATTTTAGTTATTAGTATATAAATATTCAGGTTCATATATTGAAATTATGAATATCGAAATTCATCCTTAATGAAGTGCGTTTATACGTTTTATTCTTTTGGATTGCTCTATGTAATGTACGTAGTGCAGTTTATGTAAATCGTAAATCTTTCTTTCATGGGGTTGGATTAGGTTGGTCTGTATTTCTTAAATTGTTTCTCTTAAAATAATTCTGGTTATTTATGTAGTAGTACTTTAATGTTATGTATAAGCATACATCTTAAATGCCTATATGGGAAATAAAGAAAGATATATTGTATAATATATAGTAGATATTTATGATATTTATATGCATATGTTTTAAGTTTTTAAAGGTCAAGGATTACAAGACATACAAAACAAAAAATCTAAATAGAAATTAGCGAAATAATCAACAGAGACGTTGTTTATAATATTAAAAAACAATGTTAATTCTGCTAAATAAAAATATTCATACAGTTATGTCTGATGGCATTTGTATCACTATTTTTAACTACCCATGTTAAACGTTCGGGATTAATTTTCAATTTCTAACCTAACATAATCAACTACAAAATTTCGGACTGCAAAAATACTTGGAGAACGAATTTTCAGCTTTCACGCTTAAACTTTCTGAGGAAATTCTTGATGACATTTGAGAAGAACTCAAAGCCCGATGCAAAAGTTCTGCAAACATTTCCATAGTTTACTATCTTAAAAGTTATGCCGAAGTCACGCAAATTTAGAAACATCAAGTATAACAGCACCTTCAGGGCACTGGCGACTCGAAAAATTAAATTAATCTTGCAGTTAAACAACTATAAACTTTTCTCTTCGGGCAAATTAATAGTAGCTTGTTGGTGTGTTTTGAAATCCTCCAGAAACATGCATTTAATACAGAAACATATAGACGAGCTTAAATGTCCGTATTCGCAACAAACTATCTTCCTACTAACGCAACAGAAACAAGTGCAGCAATTACTACTTAAAAACGTACCTGCCACAGCACGCAACAAAAATTCTTATTATGTTCCAGTTTTGCTTTCGAAAAGCATTTTGCTCTGCTGAAAGGTTTTATGCACAGATATTTCTTGAAATTGTAAATTTAGTACGAGCGTTTTGTATGTACTAAATAACTTGAACTTTTACCCGACGAATTCAGGTAACCGGCAGAAGCGGTTGAACCTGTGAAAAACAAAATGTTAACATTTATTGAGGGGAACATCAGGTTGATTTGGCATAGCTACACATAATTGACGATACAGTAACCCAGTTAGCATTCAAATTGTGATTAGTTTTACGGGGAAACTATATTCTGCAATATTCTCATACAAAATATTAGTGTATTAAAATCGTCATTATTAAGTATATAACTACGCAATATAAATTAAGAGATTAATACTGAAGTTTTAATAGAGATATCAATATACGCTTAAATAATATTTCTGTCGATGTGGTATGCGTATAAGTAATACTTATAATTACCAGCCACGCATCTTCGTTAGCACGCAAGATAAGTGAAATTTCTGTCTTGTTTTTTTTCTTTTTACAAATCATAGTCAGCACTTAATTAACGAAATG